ATATATATATATATATATATATATATATATATATATAAAATGGAAAAGTTTAGATAGAGCCAAGGCTCTAAACAATCAAATTTGAGCCTACCTCAAAAAGTTCACTAGTAGATGTTGTTTTGATGCCCAAATGTCTTCAAATTGATCATCTCGATATCAAGATGCATAGACATGAGAAAAAAAATAGATTTCAAGTTTATGAAATAGTGTATTTTGTAACGTATTTTAAACCGTCAATTTTCAAGTTTTCATAAATCTATCGATATACACTATTTTTGAAGCATTGCACTTTATAAATAAATATACAAATATATTTTAAGGCTATCACAAAGATTTCTAGTAGTGAAACCATATTTCTCGGCACCATTTGAAGATAGGCTCCAATTTCATTATTTAGAGTCTAAGCTCTATACAAACCGCACCCATATATACATATGGGAAAAGTTTATATAGAGCCGAGGTTCTAAACCATTAAATTAGAGCCTGCCTCAAAAATTTCATTAGAAGAGGTTGTTTTGATGTCCAAATATCTTCAAATTGATCATCTTGACATCAAGTTGCATGGACATGAAAAAAAATGGATTTCAAGTTTTAGAAATAGTGTATTTTGTAATACATTTTTGGACTGTCAATTTTCAATAATTTAAAGTTTTCATAGATCTATTGATCTACACTATTTTTGAAGCTTGAAACTTTATAATTAAAGATGAAAATGTATTTTAAGGTTATCACAATGATTTTTAGTATTGAAATCACATTTATCAACACTATTTGAAACTAGGCTCTGATATGATTGTTTAGAGCTTGGGCTCTCCAAAGCACCTTATATATATATATATATATATATATTTGGATAAGTTAGTGCGAGAGAAGGCCCCTCTAAAAAAAAAAAAGAAGAAGGAAAAGTAAGCTCAGTTGGGATTTGGGCTTCTACTTTGGTTGAAAATGAAGTTAGAGATCTCACCATGGAGGTCGGCAATACTATCAGAAAAGCATCAAGCCATTCTAAAAAAGTGGTAAGTCAGTGGGGATTGGACTCCTACTTTTTGGTGGTAATGGAGTCGGACTCTTACTTTTTGATGGCAATGGAGTTGGAGACTTCATCATGCGGCTCAATAATACTTCTAAGTTAGAGTAGAAAAACAAATTAAAAGTGGATCCTTATTTTACAATTATTTTAAGAACACATTTTTCATCAACATATAAGTCATCACCCGAGCAAACCAAAGTGGGTTGTATTTTACTCCTAGGAAGTGGCAAGAAAAATAAAACAGCCCTATCAAAGTTTAGTGGGAGCTTAATTGTTAGTGAATCGTTCTACAATCGCTTCCTCTAGCCTAGGTCTAGCTTCCTTCCCAAGAAAGAGCACCCTTGCACTAATCCTGCTTCGTTCTCTTTTCTCATCCCTAGCACCTCCACAAAATCTCTGATCATCTCTGTTTTGGCTGTAGTCATATATATGAATGATAACTTGCCTCGATAGATAACCATGAAAAAAAGCAACTTTCATTAGAAATAATCAAAGTTTTATAAAATGATGATCCGAATTGAATTGGCTCTAGATATGAAATTGGTCAGGCCGATCTGGATCCCATAAAATATTAGGAACTGATTAGTTCCCTCTATAAACCGGCCCCACTTTTATTTTTGATTTTTTTAACATTTTTATAACCAATTCACTCAATCAGATCATCAATTCGGATCGCCGATCTGCTGAACATGACTGGTTTTCCAAATGGGCGATCCGAGTCACTAATTTTACTACTTGGTAATAGTCAAGTGGAAGAGTATCAACTTGAAAGAAAAAATGTATTTTTTCTCTTGAATTATAAGGGAAAAATGAGGGTTGTATATGCCTCCAAGCGTGTTAGTTTAGGAGTAGAGGCATGCAAGTTGGAAGACTACACTAGGGCACAAATATACATGGAAGATTTATTTCAATTGCCAATAGAAGGGCGCGAACGAAATCTAAATAGACTTGATAGGCAAACCAAACGGCGCTTAAACAGTTGTTTTAAAAGTACATGTTTAGGACTCCAGTTTAGAGATCCTACCCCTCAGTGGCCTCACAAATTTTTAAATTTGAGGGCTAATTTGATCGGTCGGTTAAATCTCTAATTGTCTGGTTAAATCGGATCCAACCATTGGCTGGTTTTGGTGAACCGGTTAGGTATTTTAAAAATAAATTATAAAAAATGATATAAACTCGTAAAAAATAAGAGATTTTATTTATAATGACTTTTGTTATATTTTTTTCATTTTGGCAAAAATAGGAAATTGCTTTGGCCAATAATATTTACTTTTATATTTTTCCATCCTATTTAGAAAATTTCAAAAATATCCCTCGACACAAATCGATTCTTTAAATCCATGTTATTCATTATTTTCAACTTTTGGATGTGTTTTGTTTAATCATGTTTTAAAAATATTGTTCATATTTTATTAGATTTTATTTTATATTTTTAACACTTTTTTGACCGCCCGAGACTTGTCTAGTTATGCCGGTTGAACCGCTTCCGGCCCCATGTCCGGTTAATCGTTTCTGTTTGATTTTTCTTACATTGGTATGGACCCTAAATTGTTTTTTAAAATACGGAATGCTCCATTTATAGTTAGAAATTACATAGAAGGCCGGTTAACTCGTCTTTTTTATTTTTTTTTCAAAATTTCTCCTCGGTCCGAAAACATCTTCAGATCGAATTTAAATTTTTTTAATATATTTTCTTTAGTATGGCACTATCCTACTAATGGAAAAAAAAACTAAAAAACATAAAATTGAAATTTGGACCAAGAATTTCATCCTCAAACATAAAGGCAATTTTGAAAAAAAAATGGGTTAACCGACTTTCTTTTGAAATTTCCCTGGAGCATTTCGTGTTTTAAAAAACAATTTTAGGGTATGTAAGTAAATCACTCTATCTTAAATTGCTATTTAGGGAACAGTCATTACATATTTCATAATGTGAGTTGAAACTTGATACTTCATTAGAGAAAGGAAACAAGGGCTCTACTTACAGGCCCTCGAATGGGTAGCACAACAATTCACAAGCCAAGCATTAACAACAGGCATAAAGCAAACTAGAGACAAAGCTAGGACCCTTCCACCATTTATTTACACTGCAGCTGCCCCTACAGCCTGGAATCTGGGCTCCTTGGGGAGGAACTTCTGGCACTGATACACCTGCATGTAGTCCCCAAACACGAACCTCGGGTACTTAACCTTGTCCACAGTGGTCTCATTCTCAGCCTCAAGATGCATGAGGAGCTTAGCCGCAGGCTCAATGGTGGCACTGAGTGAGGGGTTATAAAATGAGGCGATGGAGCGTCGGTTACCTTCGTGGAGGGCGAGAACTCGGTGCCACACGCTCTTGTACCGCCCATTGCTGATCACCTCCAATTGGTCCCCAGTGTTAATGACAATGGCATTTTTGATTGGCTGAACGTCGATCCACTGGCCGTCTTTGAGTATCTGGAGGCCACCGACTTCATCGTCCTGGAAGAGGAGGATGACGCCCCCGGCATCAGTGTGGGCTCGCAGGCCGGCGACGAGGTCGGGCCTCGGGCAGGGGGGATAATGGCTCACTTTTGTCCCAAAGAATGGATTCTCCTCAGGCCCTCCAAATGCCCTCTTTATGTAGCCCTTTTCAAGCCCAAGGTTCTCATCCATCACCTCCATCACTCTTTCTGCCAACTTCTTCAGCTCCCTTCGGTACTCGCCCATGGTTTCCCTTTTTTCAATCACCCAAGTCGAGTTCATTATTTTTTTTTTAAGTTTATGAAGTCTAAACTATAATGTAAAGAGTAAGGAGCGTATGATAAGGGAAACTTCTCAAAAGATAAGAATTGAACAGTTTAAAAACATTTCCCTCATATATATTTTTAATCATTATTTTAATCTTTTGATCAAATTTTACATAACTCATGATAATCATTATGGGTCTTGAAATTTATCAATTCACACCCAATAACTAAGACGTTAAATAGTTCAACCCCTATGTTTTGTTGTGCACCCACCATATATATAGTTCATATAAATTAAGATAGCAACTTTGCCCAGAAATGTTAAAATGGCGCATTGGGTTGCTCCAATGCTCATATCACAACTTGGTTAACCGGTATGCCATTTGATGTTTTGTGTAACAAGAAGGGAAGTAATATAATATAGGTTGTCGTTTGTATAGAGCCTAGGTTCTTAACTATCAAATTAGAGCCTACCTTTAAATTGTGTCGAGAAATGTAGTTTCAATACTCGAAATTTTTGTGATAGCCTTAAAATATATTTGCATCTTTATTTATAAAGTTTAAAGCTTCAAAATTAGTGTATATCGATATATATATGAAAACTTGAAAATCTTTAAAATTGAAGGTCCAAAAACGTGTTATAAAATACACTATTTCTGAAACTTGAAATCTATTTTTTTTTTTCTCATGTCCGAGCATCTTGATCAAGATGATCAATTTGAGGATATTCGGGCATCAAAACAACCTCTTCTAGTCAAATTTTTGAGGTAAGCTCAAATTTGATTGTTTAGAGCCTCGGTTATATATAAACTTTTCTCTATAATAATATATATATATATATATATATATATATATATATTTATTGATTGTAACTCGGGGCTAGACTCCTATGAGCTAATGTGGCCAAAGTCCAGGTACTTACCGTACTCGATTTGTGCAATAAGTTCAAGTATTAAATGTGATTTGATAAATTCCCCTTATAATATTGCATAATTGAAGAAAGTTTCCCCCCGGTGGTTGTTTTCTTTTTCTTGCAAAGTTTTTTTTAAAGGCAAAAGTTTATAGGGAGCCGAGGCTTTAAACATTTAAATTAGATGCATGGACATAAAAAAAATAGATTTCAAGTTTTATAAATAATGCATCTTCTAACGTATTTTTTGACCGTCAATTTTCAAGGTTTCATAGATATGCTTGATCTATATTATTTTTAAGATTTAAATTTTATAATTAAAAGTATTTTCACTATTTAAAAGTGCGTTTACTTTGATTGTTGAGAGCCTCGGCCCTATATAAACAGCACCCTGGGCGAGTCACCAAAGCTAGCAAACTCATTTTCTTAGTCTAAGGGGTCTAAGGCCAGAATTTTATTTGATGGAAGCATGCACGTGCTATTTGCGCGTACGGAGAAGACGTGCCATTTCAAAAGTAACTCGCGTGTCGTGCATGCCATGTGTCGCCTATGACTCACTTCTCCTTTGCCGGGAGAGTGGTAAGCGCAAAGTGGGTGTCTCTCAAATTTAGAGAGAGAAATTATTATTTTTGAATGTTAGATAGAGAAATTATTAGGTTTTGTATTTTATATATAAGTATAACTGGGAGCATACTCTGAAATAGTGACTTTATTGACCACAAGGGTGTTCAAAATTTCATTAATAAATGGTATGCATATTAATTGCAGTGTCCTTCAAACTTATACTACTAATTTTTACCTAAAAAATAAGCTTAATAAGCTTGTTTTGCTTTTTTTAGGAAATTAAGACCTCTCACACCCACACCGCTACATCCGCCACTAGGCTAAACCTCAAGGGGCAACCTTTTTTTTTTTTTTTTGGTTATATTATAATAAGGATAGGTACTATTTTTTTTTGTGGTTGTATTATAGTAAGGATAGGTACTATTTTGGTTTTTTTGTTTTTGTTATAGTATAGCAAAGATAGGTCTTCTACCCATAATAAGAATAGAACTGAAGATGTCATGTTGTGATTAAGTTTAAAAAAGACGTCATTTTGTGGTGACCTACCACTCTGCCTAACCTTAAGCTCGAGGAGCATTTATGGTGGGCAGGAATGTAAAACACATGGTAGCCATATAGTATGCACCACATGCTGTATGTCATTGGTCAGGCTATATACTTTCACTTAGCCTATTAGAAATGGGGAATTAAAAATGGGATTCATCTCCACCATCCATCTTGAGAAGGTACAGTAGATGAAGTACATTTTGGCTGGAAGGCAAGTGATACAGGGTGATTCCTATTATTGGGCGTCGACACCACCACTTTGAAGAAGGCAGAAAAGAAAATACATCTATTAATCTGTTTTAGAACAGAGCATATTTCCCTAGCCCATGGGAAAGTAGTATGACTGAAAGAACTTTTCACTCAGTCCATAAAAATGCTTTCACACCTAAATTCACATTGATTCCATTCTTAAAGAGAGAAAGAAGGCAGTAAAAGTTGGAAAAACACTTTCACAATTGCTACGCAACCGTTTCAAAAATCAAACATGAGAAAACAATAGACCAGTGAAAAACAAGTTAATTTTTTACTGCTAAACAAACGTGATATTAGGCAAAGCAAGGATGGGGTTAGGTGCTTACTTGAAGTCATGGGGAATGGAAGGCCATTCATTATCATCTTGGAGAACAAAAACATCCTCCCAATCTACACCCTCCACCCTCTTCTTTACCTCCTCCTCCACCTTTTTCTCACTCTTTTCCTTCTCTGCAACCAAAATCTCATCCAGCATCTTAACTGGGACAGATTTGTTGAATCCTTCTTCTCTCTCCAACTTGTAGCACTCTGAGCACCCCTTCTTCAGTCTCTCCAACAGCTCCACTGGTACCCCATGGTTGATCAACTGAAAAAACCACCACCCATCAACAATCTAATCAACAAGCAACATAGAACATGTTGAACACATGAACACACCATAATTTATTGACAATTCACAATTGAGAGAAAGAGAGAGAGACCTGAAAGAATCCCCACTCCTCACACCCATTAGCGATCTCGGCCATTGTCTTGGCTCGCTCCTCGCCATCGAGCTTTGACATGTCAATCACCGGAATCGTCATTTTAATCGTAAAACAACACACACACACTTTCTTTCTCTCTCTCTCTGAGCAAGCAGTTGCAAGAAGGCAAGAACTGTGTTTGAGTTGCAGAAGCAGAATGAGGGGCTGGGTTTTTATAGGCATCAGCTTCTTATGTCAACGGTGACTAAAGAAAAGGGAGATGGGGAAGCTGTTGGGCGGTGTCTTTACAATAGAAAACAAAAGGTCAATGCAGGCGTGGAAGCCCACAACATAAGGATTGTACTTCAGGTGATGAACCCCCTTTTTTTACTTCATTTCTTGCCAACAATTGTATTATTCTTAATCATCTAGCCATTAAACGGTTTCAACGTGAATGCTAGAGAAAGAGAGAGAGATACAGAGTACTGCATTCTATAACATAAGAAACCAAACTTTATATGAAAAGAAGGGAATATGATATGTAGGAAAAAGCTTATATAAGGTTGCAATTTTATGATGTAGAAGGTGCATCTCAATGATCAAGTAGAAAACAGTGTTTTGGAGTTGGTAAACATTCCAATCGATTATCTTGACTTTGAGATGTATCAATATAAAGAAAAGAAAAACTTTTTCAAGTTTTAAAAATAATATATTGTAACTAGTTATCTGAATCATCCATTTTTAAGATTTTCAAGTATTTAAAGATCAAGGTGGGCATCTTATACAAACCTCGCCGTTACACGTATGTCTTCAGATAATTAATATAGGTTTTTGTTAGCGCAAAGGCTAGGCTGTACGCTAAAAAGTGAAGCGCCGCCTTAGAACTCCATCGGAAATGTAGCTGGGCCGCCGAAAGCCCTTATATTGGCCTAAAAATCTATCTTCAGTCTTGATTATAACATTTGAAGTTTAAAAAACTATGTAGATTGGGAGAATACGTGAATGCCTAAAAATTGACAATTTGGATAAGCGATTTAAAAAACGTCAAGTCGGCACATTGCCCGGTCCAGCCTAGAAAGAGGTTACGCCGTGCCAATTACGTCAATATATAGGAAATCGCCTGGGTTTAGAAGAGAGCTATTGATTTGCTACAGTAAAAATGGTATTTTTCTAAAGTAAAAATGTCATTTTGCTACAGTAAAAATGCCAAATTCACCGATCCGAACCGGTTTTTGGTCAGTTCACTATTTTTGCACGTATTTTTTCACACAGTAAAGCGACGATCCAGATCGACAATTCACCGATCCAAACTGGTTTTTGTGATGCCCCATCCGGGTCACCAATAGCTTTTTTTAAATCATTGGTTCAAATATTGTAGTACAAGATATATTATGTTTTCAAATGCATGATTGTCAAGATCGAAATGATCAATTTAAAGGTTTTCTGATGTCTCAAAGGTTTTCTGATGTCATTACTGTATTTTCTAGTAGATGGAAATAGAACCTCATTTTTAACGTAAAGCCTAAGCCTTAGACAATCTTCTTCCATTAATATATGGTAGATGTAGATCAATGTGGCCTTTGTGTTTGCTGTTTTTAATGCATTCTGTTATCTGTTAATCTCCATGGCTTTGGTCGGTACGCCAACTAATTTCCATGGATTGACAAATGGAGGTTAGTTTATAGTTTGGGCTTTATCCCTTGACTTTGCCTAAATTAAAACCAAACATTGCCTTCATAAGAGGAAAACCAACACATTGGTGGCCGGGTTTTTTGGGATGAAAAGTGTAGAAGACTTTGTTTAAAGAATGACAAAAAGGAAATTTTAATTGGAAAAGTGATAATGGCCTCATTTTTTAATTGAATTAAGGGTGGTCAACTCCTTCACAGTGCTGCAATGTGAATAAAGAAAGAACAGTGAATGGTTTGTTGATAATGCCCACTGAAAATGGAGCCACGTAAGACTTGGGCAGGTCTCATGCATTGGCCATCTTCACATGTAGTTGGACCTAGCTCCCCACCTTCTCTAGAATTCTCAACATGCCCTCTGTCTTCCGATAAAGCAATTCTTTTGATAAATTTATCAAAGGTATACCTACTTTTTGAACGATTTAATACTTTATTTCAGTGATTTAGAAATTTTCAGGATGGTGTAGAATCGCCACCTCATTCTCCTTTTGCGAATATATAGAAAAAAGACTGAGTCTAGAAAGGAACCAGTGATTTCGTACAGTAAAATGACAATTTTATTAGCAAAACGACGATCCGGACTGCCAATTCACTGGTCCAGACATATTTTGGTCGCTTCACTATTTTCCCTATATTTTTTTGCCAGTTTATTGTGTTTTTTGCACAATAAAATAGTGATCTAGACCATTGATTCACCTTTTCGAATCAGGTTTTGAGGTGCCCAATCTAGGTCACCGATCTAGTTTTTAATCCACAGGTTTGTTCTTTGTGATTGTCTATTATGAGACTATTTATTTTTGGTATAAAGTGGTCACAATCATTTTGCGCTATTATATGTAAAATCTATTAGAAGAAAGTACGTCACAATATTCAAAAAATTTTATTTTGAACTTTTTAACAAAGGCATATCCTCAACCACTTATTTTTAAATCCAATAGTCAACCATGATTTTGTCCTCCTTATATAAAAACTTCAAAAATAAATGGTCTCATTATATATATTTTCTTATTCTTTTTCAATTCATGATCCTCTATAATTTTTATAGCTATTTTCAAATTAAATAATAAACAAGAACATGGGTAAAATATTAAATAGCTAATCTCCTACGGGTTTTCTTTGTTGCGTGATTTATGTAGCATTTTTGCTATATCGATGTAATGATTGGCCCTGAGTCCCTAACATATTTGCCAAGAGATAGTAAGCCCCAAGTTCAGGCACATCTTTGGCCATCTAGTTGCGAGCCCAAACCCTAAATATTAGCATTAACCTTATGAAATATAATGCTAATTATTTTCAAGCTTTGGACTAGAGGCAATAAGTTTGATTTTGTGAAGCCCAACAATGAATTGAAGAAAGGGACGATTGGGTGAGGTTTGTATACCGTGCTCACCCTATACTATACAAGTATAGCGCACCTCTAAATTTTATTGGAAGATGTAGTTTCAGTGCCGAAAGCCTTTCAATGGCTTGAAAATCTATGTTCAATTATAAATATGAAATTCAAAATTCTAAAAATGGTACAGAGAGAGTATAGCTACAAACACTTGAAAATCTCGAAAACATATACTATACAAGTATAGTGCACCTCTAAATTTTACTAGAAGATGTAGTTCTAGTCTCGAAAGCCCTTCAATGGCTTGAAAATCTACGTTCAATTATAAATATGAAATTTAAAATTCTAAAAACGGTACATATAGAGTATATCTATGCTCAATTATAATTATTTGTGAGCGTACTCACATCAATGACGAACCATCTGAACCTTGATATTCGTCCCTATTTTTTTTTTTCCATGAATTTTGCGCTTGATCATGTTTGTGCTTAATTTTCTCTGGATTTTTCACATTTTCATCGACAAGTCTGAATAGGGTTGAGAATGGGGTTGGGGTCATCCACTTGTGCACCCGCTAAGGTTTAGGCTTTTATTCTCATCTATCGCATTAAAAAACCACTAATGATTTAAAAAAAAGAATAGGGGCTCGTCATCCCCATTGAATTATCAAAAAAAAAAAAAATCTGAATAGGGTTTTATAGAATGAGTAATTTGTGACATTTCAACAACTCATGGGGGTGGAGGTCATGTTTTAGAAATTTGGTGGCTAAATTACTTTGCCAAAAGATATTGTACCCCTCTGGGCGTATACCGTCCATTTACTCCCTCAGGAAAAATCCCACATAGGATTAATTTCAGGACCTCAAGCATTGGAGATTTAACTCTTCAACCCATGGATGAACTCAATAAAATTTTTTTTCTTAATTGCACTCTCTACGCACTAAAAATAATAATAATGTCTCTAGATTGAATAAAGGCTGTCCAATTTTTAGAAGTTGAGATCCATTCTAACATTTTAAATTTTTTCTTTTGATAATAATCATCTAGTGATTCTTAAGTGGTCTCTGTAATTTTAAATTGGAAAAAATATTCAAAGTAGGTCTGCTTACCAAAGGAGTAAATGTAAACTATGCTTTTGATGTAGGGGTAGGGGTGACAACCAAAATGCTCAGGCCGGGTCTGATCCAGGTCCAGCTGGATCCGTACCTAGACCAGGACCTGGAAAACTATTATGGAACCCGAACCTGATCGGACTCGAACTCCCCAGATCTAGACCGGGACCCGGACCCAAAAATAATGTGGGACCATGGCCCGGACCCAGACCCGATTAGACCCAAACCCGAACGGACCTTACCCAAAAATTAAGATATCTATATATTAAAATATATTTTCATCAATTGGAAAATGTGAGACCTGGACCTAAATAGTGTTTTTGGACCCACCTAGGGGATCCTTAGACCCATACGAGGACCAGGGTCAGGTCTAGGCGTTGGGTCCCAGGTCCATTGACACCGTAATGTAACTGCTCGAAGAGTGGTTTTGATTACGTGGTTTTAGACTTTTGAGTCGTTATCCAAGGTTTTGATATTGAACGCGGCATGTGAGTTGTATGGGGGAGGAAACATGAGCCCATTCATGTATTAATAATACAAATATAATATAATTAACATTAAAAAAAAAAACAATACAAATATAACATTGCATTTGGGGAAGAGTGACTCATGTTCTTCTGTACTCGGACACCTCTTCCTTTTTCTCGAGGCCTTCCTTTGTTTGTTTGCAAAGTCTTCGGTCTTAGAGGGAGTCTAGGAAGCATTCCAACTGTGATAGTCGGTGGCATTCACAAGACATGCGTGTCGGCATGCATCGTCCCAATCTGATCATCTCAACCCTCACACCCTACAATTATAGGGGTGGCAATGGACCCGAACCTGACGCAGACCTGGCGACCTGACTTGACTTAAGTCCAGGTATAGGTCTAAAAATTGAACCCGACAGGCTGGGTCTGGGTTCATATAGACCGGCTTTGAATAATGCTATTATTTAAATAATATAGTATTTAAATAATATTTAAATAGATATAAGTATATCTTTTAATTATAATATTTAAATAAGAAAAAAGTTTATCTAAGGTTGCAACCTTAAAATGTAGATTTACGTATGC